CATGTTCTGTTCGAACAACTGCTTCTTGGTAGTGGTTAAATAATTGGCAATGGGTTCTGGTTTTATATGAGAGCTACAAACTAAAAGGAGCTCTGGTAGCGTAGTGGTTAGGAATTGGGCTGTGAACTGCAAGGTCAGCAGTTCTAAACTACCAGCTGTTCCGTGGGAGAAAGATGAGGCTTTCTGCACCCGTAAAAATTTACAGCCTCGAAAACCCTGTACAGGGTCGCTATGAGCCGGAACCGACTCCACGGCACATAACCACCACCACCACTACCACCACCACCACAAACAAAAAAGGAAAAGAGGGTTTTTCATAACTAGGAGGGCCCATAAATGTGGGAAAGAAAATACTTTTGAGTTAATAAATGGGAAACTAGATTTGTTCCTTATAAAATAAATGATTCTTCACTATGGTAGCATAACTATTCCTTCCAATGAGACTCCCAGCAGGACAAATGGTCAATACTTCATTAAGTATATGCTGCAGAAGGCATATTCTTTCTTACAATGTTTTGCTCAGACACCTGTATTTGGTGTTAGATAATATTTTTTTTAAAAACCATTAATTCACTACACTGTCTATTCACTATACTAGTAATTAAAAAAGGCAAAAGGTCTTTTATAAAAGCATGTAAAACAGAAGGCGTTTAAATTATGTGATCTTTAAAAAAAACCAAAAACTATGATTCTAGGATATTTGTCTGTATGATAATGAGTCATAACTTACCTGCACTTTGGCTGCAGAATTTATTGTACTCAAGTTTTAGAAAAGACAAATACAACGTTTTCTGACATAATCTCCTTGCTTTTCAATACACTTTGTCCATCTGTCAACAAGCTCTTGTATTCCCTCCCTTATTAAAAACTGTGAGTCACCAATACACCGTTGTCTTCACTTCTTTATCAGAGGTGAATCTTCGTCCGAGAAGGGCTGCTTTCAGGAGACCAAACAATTCAGATGGAGCAAGATCAGGTCGATAGGGAGGATGCTTTAACACCTCAAAACAAAGTTTCTGCAGAGCGTCAACAGTGTGGACAGAAGTGTGCTGATGTGCATTGTCGTGCAAGATCACAATTGGATAGCAGTTCTCTGAGTTTAATCCAAAGTTTAGGCTTTAGCTCTTCAATGAACATCTCACTGTAATAAGCACTGTTGATCGTGGAACCTTTTTCCTGATAAGTGTTTCAATACTGGCTCTTGAGAATTGCAGACAACAGTAAACATCAATTTTCCAGCTGATGGCTGACTTTTGAACTTTTTCTTGGTTGGCCATTGAGGTTGTTTCCATTTCATACTCTGTAATTTTCTCTCAGGCTCGTTCATAGTGATGAATCCATGCCTTGTCATGCCTTCCTTTGAACATTTGTCCAAATTTTCTTTGCAGATGTCCAAATGCTATTTATGTTCTTCTGTGAGTTGTTTCAGTGCCCATCTCACACAAACTTTTCCAAACCCAAGTCTGTCGTGGATTATTTCACAGGCAGAGCCATGACTGATTTACAAATGATTTGTCACATAGTCCACTGTTGTTCCTCTGCTATTTGACAGCATCATTCCACATGCACGCTCAATACTGTCATCAGCCACGCACAGGTGTTTTAATATGACTAAATTGTGGACAGTTTTTGACTCACCCTTATACATCATTACCTTTTTAACTACATATTCACATTCACACTATGTACTTTGTGATAAACTGAAAAGAATACTAGACTGCTGTTGATTCCAATGCACAGTGATCCTGTAAGACAGAGCGCTGCAGGGTTTCCAGAGCTATCATTTTTTTCTCATTTCATTTGTTGTTACTGTTGAGAATACACACAGCAAAACACTGTTACCAGTACCAAGGTACCTAGACTTTTGGTCAGGGTTTCCAAGGCCCCAGGTTCTATTCCCCAACAACAAACACCATTCCACAGTGTCTACACGTACAATTCAGTGACACCGATTGCATCCAGTGAGTTGTACGATTCTCAAGCCTCCTTTTCATAGTGGTTCCTCTGTCTGATAACACAAATTCATTGCCCTATTAGATGCCTATCTTTCAAGTTGTTGATGCCACTTTTTTAACCCCATTTAGATAGTTCTTAAAAAACTATAATGCTCAAGGCACACATTTCTTACTAACCTAAAGTACTGTTTGGTTTTAAGACAACTTAAGGGGATAATTCACAATCCAGCCTCCACCTCAACCCCAGAAATGGTTCTCTAATACAACTGTGAGTCATACTTGCTACAAATACACACTCTTTTCAATTAAGGAAAGTACAACTAACTGATGTACAGGTGGGGAAAAAAAAGCTTTTCTAGAGATCTTCAACCCACTGGTATTTTTTTTTAAAACTGACTGTCAAAATTCATTTTCACCACTTTGTGTATTTCCTTAAATTAAAACAATTGCCATTTAAATGGGTAACTGCACAGTATTTGACTTCCATATGTTACCATCCTAGTAACTCTGTAAGGCATTAAGTCTGACAATCGATAGGGATGGTTCTATACAAACGCACCAACCAAACCCCACTGGAAGTCAACAGCCTAGGAACAACAATGGCTGCTAGAGTGCAAAGCCTTCAGGAACTGCTAACACCTCCACCCTCAAAGCAGCCTTGGCAGCCCCACATCCAGCATGCGGCACTAAGTGCAGAAAAGAAGAGCCTGCAGAGGCAGCAAGGCAAGCCGGAAGCTTTCATTTGGAGCCATAATGTCAACTGGCAGGATTCCCTGGATGGCACAATGGCTAGAGCGCTTCACTACTAGCTGAGAAGACAAGTCTGGTGATCCATTTCTAAAAGGCCACAGCCTTGAAAACTCTACCAAGTGGCTCTACTCAGGACACATGGGGTTGCTATGAGTTGGAACTGACTTGGTAGCAAACAACAACAGTTCACAAAACTCAACAACTGGACTTTTCTGGGCTTTCTCACATCCTCCAGGTACTGACACTAAGTCAGCATTCTTAGTGGGATAGGGGCCAAATCTACTGAGCACAATACAAAATCCTCTCTAAACTGCCTATGCTAAAAAAAAAAAAAGCAACACATGCAATTCAAAATGCATTTGTAGTTGATATAATTATCACTTATTAATAAAGTTTCCCTGGACACATTAACAGTCTAACAATGAAAAAGACTAAAATAATAAAATTCTGCTAATGAGAGAGATAAAGTTGGCTTGGGAGTAACACTTTACCATGTCATGATAGACAACAATTCAAAATATTTTTAAATTATGAATGTCTGAAAGTAAAGGTTTTTGCTTAAATACCCTTTATACTAGTTAACCAGAAGTCCTGGTGTGGCGCTGTGGGTTAATGCACTGGACTAAAGGTCTGTCTGAATTGCAAGGTCAGCGGTTCAAACACACCAGCAGTTCCTTGGAAACCCTATAGACGGTTGCTATGAGTTGGAATCGATT